CGGTCAAGCTCTTATACTAAAGCCGATGTAGAACGAGCACTCGGCGTCGAGTTCGGCTGGGAAGAATCCCGCGACCAGCGCGACAGCGTAATTAGTTCGGGGGAAATAGCGGTATTACAACCGAGGGCTAGGGGAGATTCGTTGTCGACAAGACAAGGGAGTTTGCAAGCAAGCCTTAGTAGAAATGGCAGCAGTAGCACTACGACCACCACAACCACCACCACAACCAACTCCACAGTAACACTGGAGGCTCAAAATGGGATGATAAGGGCGCATAGTTTAAACAGCGTGCCAGAAGCTCACGAGGAAGACGGTGATTTCGGAATGGGAGGAAATAAAACCGGAGAGAGCCGAGAGGCGTTACTAGGTAGTGAGAGGGTATCGAGATCTAGCTCGGGGGCCAGTAGGCGTAGCGGAGGGAGAATTGGGCAGGTTCAAGGATTAGAAGTGGTTGAACTTGAAAGTGGCAAACAAGCGAGATAGATGTGAACGAGACAGTTATGATACCCAAAAGGAGTGAATGAATCAACGAATTAATACAAATGCAGATGTCTAATGAAGCAATTCATGATGTGACTTGAGTATCCTCATAGTTACCTACCCAGGTAATTAATTCATATGGTAAATCGAGTTGTTGCTAAGATGTTGTTTCCGTTTTGTAGCACTTAACTACGCAAACCTCCTGGTTATAGGCATCTGGTGTAGGGTAAGAGATGCTGCATGTAAGAGGCGCCTACCTTTGATACCGGGCTAGGACTGGGGTGTATCTGGCATGGCCTAGTTTCTCTAGGTTGCCTAAGTAAGGACATCCCAATACTATGTTAGGATAGACACTTCCGTACAAATATAATTTTACCCCTTATAAGCACTCCGAGATTAGGTACACTTATACACTAGCAACACAAAATCAACTCCGTTCATGTCTGCTCAACCTCCTCAACACCAGCATCCATTCTAAATTTTTGGATTCGAACTCTTCATGCCATAACGACATAATAACTGCATTCCATAGCACTTGAACTATTCTCACTATGTCTATTTTACCGTCATTCCCTTGTGATAACCGGTCTTGTGATAAACCTGCCGTTTTCGCTTGCTCTTCCTGCTTACTGGTACAATACTGTTCATTCGAATGCCAGGCCTCGGATATTAACCATGGTGATGTCTGCGGAACCGAATACGGAAGCCCTGACTGGCGTCCTCAATGGTTCAAAGAAGGAAAACAGCCAACGTACTACAAGCAATATCCTCCACACCTAAATGCAGCTCGCAAACAACTTTAGGGAAGGTCTGTCGCTCTCGATATACTACAGTTACGAATCAATGAGGGGTTAGGTTGTGTAGGAGATCTGGATTTATTGTTCGTTGGTACGTATGCTCATACCCCGGCTCAAATAATCTAACATGGCTAATACTTACCATACAGGTTGTGGGGATCTCAGAAACGTTATTAAGACTGTTACCTGTATTCCCCAGTGCTACAAGGGGAAAGTCAGAATCGTGATCAATGACAAAGATTTCGATGCCATTGCTCGGGCCTTCATAATTCTTACTTATATTCTCTGCCATGACAGTACAGATCAGATAGCCGAGAACACCATACACTTATGGTACTCTGCTTTTATACCAGATTCATTAGACGCATGGATTCGCGGTACGCTATATCCCCATGTCCTCCACGAGGCTCGAGTGTTCCAAGCCAGGCATGGGGTTAAACCAAATGTTATAGAGAGGCTCTTCGTAAATAAAAGAGTCGGTAACTGCACGAAAGCGATATACAGAGAACTAGATAATACGCCCGGGATCCTTTTTTCTTACATTAGCTTACTCAGATTGGCCCAATCTAGCAAGCTACCTCCAGAGAGAGTTGCCATTGGACGAGGCTATCTCTGCTCGGAATGCTGTAGTCGCTTGTGAAAGCAGGCGGGACAGCAGAGAGCGTTATCTGTTTAGACAGCCACCTGCCGAACGTCAGGTCCACGTCAACTTCATGGAATCCGGGATCTTAGCACCCTTTAGTCGACCTCTTTACTGCTACACCAAACCCAACGTGTAAGTTCTCTCAAAGCATTATTTTCCAAAATTTTAGTGCTCTCTTCATAAGTCGGGCGTATTCCCTAACATTTCCGCAAAATTGGTGTAGTACTCTATTCGACTTTTCTAAAGGAGGAGGTACGTGGCTTCTTGACGACTCAAAAGGACCAGAGCGTAGGTGGTCTCGATCCCAGTTCAAGCAAGTCAATAACGGGTTTACATCCAATGATATATACGGAAAGCTTTATTATTACCTCAAAAATATGATAAAACTTTTCCGTGAACAAATCCGCACCCTCGATATCGTATTCTACCTAGAACACGGTGCCCTGGACCGTCTAAGCTACATTAGGAAGGGCGTCAAATTTGACCGTATCCTGGTACGTACGAGTTATTCTCTCATATCAGATTTGGCGGGAAGGCCAATTTACTAACCACCCGAACCACAAAGCTCCCAGAAGAAGAAACACATTCATACGTCGTGCCCAACGGTATCGAGATGTGGCCTGCTGCGTACCTCAAACCCGAAAATCCCTATTCGACCATCATAGCGCCTTGTAGGGTACCACCTGACAAGGGTAGAAAAATGAATACCAACGACTGCAGATCTGGACTAGAAGAATTGTTACAAGATGTTAATATAGCGGGTCCTGATGCGAAAAAGGAACACATCCGGGTGACTACTCCTCTGTGGGATCCGGTGGAATTGCTTAGATATGAAAAGCCTCCTGGAATCGAAGACCTTGAGTTGCGTTTCAAAGTGTAATATTTCCTCATTTGCCCCCACGCTTGTGGAATGCTATGATGTACTGACACATGAATGCCTTAGGAATATATCCGAAAACCACTTCCAAGGGTCCTGGCAAGACAGTGGCGTACAGCGAAAAGTTTATAATACTATCGCCATACCGTGGCCTTACATTCCTCTGCCAGATGAGGACGATTACAATGCGGATATAGAACGGGAAGATAGATATCCTGCGGTACGTTATACCGAGTGGTGTCTACCGCGCATGGAGTGGAGGTGAATGAAGCTGGGAGGCGTAAAAGAATCAAAGAGCACTTCAATAGTGTATCTTCTGAATGAATAGTATAAATCGACCAGAGACTCCTTCGTCTTAGATGTATTCTTAGGCATGCTGCAGGCCAAAATCACCATTTTCACTCCTATGGTTTTATTTCTCGTCATGAGCTCGGGAGTGGGAACATTCGCTTTTTCGGGATGCACTTTCAGTAATCGTGTCAGTGGTAAGAAAGACGGGCAAGATATTTAGCATCGCGGGATTGTACATGCGTCCTGATATATGTGAGCACGCAGTACGAATATTGCGTGTTAAGTACGTCTTAGGTCATCTTCAGATAGGTCCTTTGGCTATAGCTAGGTGACTATGAATAGAAACGGGGAATAGTTAAAGGGGTTAGATAAGTCTAGATAGCATTTGCCCACGCCGGAGTCAATATCAACATAATATCTGCCTTTGATGCCTGTCACACTATAAGACAAGAGCGTATTTGGCTTTAAGGGCTGTACCGTGCACATCATGGCACGAGAGAAGGCACCAAGTCAAACCTACAATCCAAATCCGTCAAGAGGCGCGAACCAGAAGGAAGACTATGAAGCCCAAGTAGGAGAAATTAGACCAAAGCCAAATAAATGACTTGAGACATAAGGCCCAGTTACCTAGACCTTAACAAACTCCCAGGCAGTGCCCTCGCCCTTCGTGGTAACTACTTTCTGGCCGTCTTCCGCAATCACCATCTTCCACAACCAATCCTTATAATTCGTCAAGAGAAGATAGCCACCGTCCGGGTGTCTTTGTGTGCAAAAGTACTCGTGGGCTTTATGGTGCCTCACTTGAGCGACGAAAGTCCCGAGGCTGTCGTGGCCCATGAACATATTGTGTATGGGATCGCAGAACCCCAGCCAGCCGTTCTTCTCGACGCAGATCCAATGATAACCACCCTGGTCGCCCTTGTGCGGCTCTAGTCGGAGCTCTCCGCGAACGATGGTAAGCTGCTTCCCCGAAACAGGCTCGCGTATGATGAATGTGTGGCCGGGCCACGGCACTGTTTCTTTAGGACGCGCGGCCAAGCGTGTCGCGCAGTAGTCACTTAGCAGGTCATCCGTCACCGTCGAATGCGTCGGGGTAGCATCGCCCTCGACTGTCGAGCTAGACGTACTCATTTCGGAAGGACTCGATTCGAAAAGATGGTATTTCGTATCCATTCTCTGGTTATTATTTACGAAAAAACTAATTATAGAGTTCATCGATCTTGTAAGGTTCGGGATTGTGCTCTCTCCGTGTCCCAAGCCCTTGTTTGAAGGAGGGGTAACGGGGGAGGGTTGCCTCATTAAAAAGAAGCATAAAAGCTTGTGCCACTTCGAAAGGTCTCGGTCATTGTGGCCAACGTGCTGTTACCACGGCCTCAGGTTATCACTTATCACATAGCCAACCTTAGTAACAGCTTCGACGTCCTAGGACTTGAGACCTGCATGCTCAGGAAGAAACGGGAAGTTCCGCGAAGTGAATTAATTGAGCATTCGCCTACGGGAATATACATAAACTTCATTTTCTTGTCAAACGGCAATATAACTCCGTTTCAGTTATTCGGGAGAACTTTCTTGCAAGTTTAGAAAAGGTAGGTCTCTAAAGGGGAGTGGAAGGGTAATACCTAGCTGATAAAGTAAAAGTTAACTACTTGTTATTAATAGCTGGTCTATTTAGTAGCAAAACCATAGTATCAAGCACTTATAAAACAAAATGAATTTACTCATATTCAAAAGATATATAAAAAGGTCAAATACCTTACGGTTACGTATTAATATATTAATAGAGATGCGAGGCTATGACGTATGTATAAGAGGCCTATCGTAGTCTCATCTCAGCTGCAAACAGGCATAGGTTGTTGGCTTTGGGCTCTAGCTAACCTTGTCAATTAGCGAAGATGATGGGACCAAAAAAAATCGACACCTGTGTGATTCGAACACACGCCCCCGAAGGGAATGCCTTGTCTATCAGATTAATAGCAGGGCATCGCGTTAACCACTCCGCCAAAGTGCCTTGAGGTCCTCTTTTAAAGCGGGGTGCTTTCTGAGTTACTGACAGCAGAAATGAAATTGGCTTATAACTAGTCTTTTTAGTACGTTGACTAGCATCATTGAAGATTCCACAACCTAATTTAGTGAAGTGGGTTTGACGCTTTGTTACGTTAAGCCCAATATCATATTAATTAACATGCCTTGTTCTCGTTTCTTTCGAGCATATTGCAATGCGACTAATAATCTATTTTTTCTTTTTTGGAAATAGAAATATGCAAATATCATTAAAGTACGAGTTAGGTGAATAATGCCACTCATATACCACGCTTCAACTAGCTTAAGCCCCCTTCATCGCAACCTGAAGTCATCTTTGCGTGGTCGGATCACTACCAAATCTAATGAAATCTCATAGCAAGGGGTCTTCCAAAATGTACGACAAACCACCCCGCGACAAACAGAACAACAGCTTTAGCAGTCGTGCCGACATCCTTAACTGTCTGAACAAGCTTCTGTCCAGCTGTAACATTAGGCTTTGCGAGCGCATTAACTCTGGAAGCTGTTTCTTGCTTCTGTATATTCTTTCGCTCCTGTGGTATCCCTTGCTTCTGTGCATTCCTTTTCCCTTTCACTTCCTTGCGCTTTTCGGCCAACTCCTCGTTTTTCCTATCGAGCCATTTCTGATTGCAGTCCGCGAAGCGACCGATACCCGAGCCCAGATTGAAATCGTACATGCAGCGCTCCTTGCTCGTGAGGATTTTGTACGCTTCCGTTACCTGGTGCACCTCCAGATTCGCTTCTTCTTTACCCCCCTTGAACTTATCGGGATGAATCAACTTCAGCTTGTCACGATACGCCCTTTTTATGGCTTCGTCTTGCGAAAATAGGGGAATACCGAGGGTTTCGTAGTGGTTAACAGAGTTTTGAGATGGGTTCTTCGCGAGGACTTTCTCGTTCGTGAAACTATCGAACTCGTCTAATGGGACCATGAATTCCGTAAACTGGATAAGACAGTAGGAAAGACTACTGAGCAATATAGAAGTGATAAGAAAGCCTAAGATGGCCTTGTGAATCTTCGTCATCGTAGATTCGCGATGCATGTCAAATGAAGGGACGCCTGCTTTTTGAGGGACGTCAACTAGTTGTTTAGATATTGTTTGCTAAGTAGATTGGGTGGTTCTAGATGTTTCAAGCACCCTAGAAGTAGCATAGAGATATAATAAGTGCATTTCAAAATTAAAATCGATGGCGCCAACTAACCGTAGGTGTACAATCTTATATATTAGGCATACACATTCTTCTGCAACCAATTCTTTGTCCCTGCACAATAAGATGTTTAAAGTTACACGAATGACTTTATTCTCATATTCGATCTCATGTCCAGGGGTCAAAGAACCGATAGTATCTGTGCAGTGTACGCCGAACAAAGAAAGTTCGAGGTAGCTTTAGGCATAGGTAATTGAGCCACAGAATACCTATATTCCCATTTTATTAAGTATGAATTAGTTATGCTTCATTCGCGGTTCCTGATGTTTCCTCACACCCGAAATCGCAAACATGTATGCTACGATTAGCTAGGTAGTTACCTCTTTTGCTCGAACGGAATCTTGAAACCACCAGAAACTTGACGAGAGAAAACGCCTTTCGGATCTACATCCCTCCTCACCCTCTGCAGTTTCCTCAAGCTTTTCTCCCCGTAACTTGCAATAGGATCCTGCCACGGCGCTGCGTAATTCGGATATATGAAGGGATCATATGCGCCTAGTCTTCTCGCATCGTCTTCGATCTTTCGGAATAGTTCGCGCGCTGCCTTCTCAACTTTCGCATCGTCCGCTTCGTTTCTCCAAAATACGGTTAGTAGAGTTATTACGAGTGCGTCCGACCTATCCGAGAGTCCGAAGACGTTAGACGTTGCGGATCGGGCGTAGATGGCTGGCGGCAGCGGCTCTAGAGATATGGCCCAGACAACGCCGCGAACGCTCTTTATGGCCTGTATACTCTTATTCCAATTCAAATAGACCGAGTTAAGCATTGGGAAAGTAGACTTGTGGGTTATTGTAACGAATAATTGGCTGTTTTAAATGTTAGCATGCTGTTCGTCGTCCTTTGGCTGCGGTCGTTTCAAGTTTAAGCACTTACCGCCGTCCGTTTTTCGAGTAGGAACCTTGTTCTACTGCCAACTCTTTCATGCTGCCAATGCGACCTTTCTCATCCATCGAAGATATCTTCGTGAATGGCTCAAATGCAGGTGGGTTTTCTATAGCTTTCGTATATTCAACGTTGTTCAAGATGAAAGTTTGACGACCACCAGCATAGCCAAGGTTGGTAATTAATGATGCGTATTCGTCGTAAGATTCTGCCGAATTCAAATCGACGAATGCTTTCAGTTGTTCTTCAATAGTTTCGCTGGAAGCAAGCACTGCTCCTCCCCATATAGGGCCCTGTTCAAAGGTCTGGAAGTCGATTCGGGTGACAACGCCAAAGTTGTTCGCACCACCCCTGAGAACAAAGAGAAGATCGGGGTTCTCATCGGCATTAGCGTTCACGATAGACCCATTGGCGAGTACAACTTCAAAGTTTGATACTGTATCGCATGTCCAACCGTATCGTGGAGAAAAGTAGGAAATCCCGCCTCCCAAAGTCAATCCACCTACGCCAACTTGGGCTACACGGCCGCCGGCAACCGATATGTTAAGGGGATCCAGTTTTGAATAGACGTCACCCCAAGTAGCGCCCACTCCTACAGATGCAGTAGATTTATCGTCGCTCAAGTCGATAGTATTGAGAGAACGTAGATCTATTGTTACCCCACCTTCAATATTCGCTGCACCGGCAATGCCCGCGTGGCCACCGGAGCGGATGGCAAATTGACAACTGCTCTGCTCATCATCATCACCGAGTGCCTCAGCTGTAGAGGATAGCGATGAAACTGCAGTCGAAACATCATCGCTTGTGGTTGGTATGACAATACATAAAGGCTCGAGATGGGATTCTTGCTGGCTGTGATACGAAGAGATAGATGAGCGGTATTCCTGGCTTTCGGGAAAGACGACCTTGTCACCGAGTGAAGCCGACAATGCTAAGCACTATATTTAGAATTCTGTTAGACCTGATGATCGCCTTAATGTTTATTTATATCGAGAAGGGGTGAGGCTTACGCAAGGCCCTATGAAGCACCGTGGCTCCGCAAAGGGGAGGCTGAGAACCCATTGGTCCATAATAGGTCGGGCACGCGACTAAGAACGAGCGGAGTGTCTAATGAAGTGGAAAGGAGACGCGAGGCCTGCGAAGATACGATTGAATAGGAAAGAAAATAAGACTGAGAGTAGAAGCGTAGAAAGCCATGGGAAATACGTAACGCCACCAACCAAAAAATAGCAAAACCGAGATTAATATCATGTATTGGGTTTAATCGAGTCAAGGTCGCATATAGCTCATTTCCATCACATCGGGGTAACTGATAGTTGGTCAACTTCCAGCGCACATGCATATGTTGTGGAATGAAAGGTATAAGGGTCGAGACCAAGTCTTAGTCCTAACCGGCAATAGCTCTCCCCCAGACGAAACTATTCTGAATTAGGACTGCCGATGTATCACTGCATACTCTATTGCAAGGGTTATCTCCTAGTAGACCCAATTGCTCACGATGATTCGTGCGTTTGCTACTATTGAACGATGTCTTGCGTCAGCGGCTCAATATTAACGGGGGCTCTGGCTTTGGGGAAGACCGGTACTTAAATAACTGTCAAGATCTAGCCAAGCAATATGTTTAACGGCTTTAGTATCAAAGAAATGCTTTTAATTGTATTTTATAATGATGAGTTCAGCCTTTGAACATATCGTGTTCCCTTACTGAATCCTGTATTGGGTGGCCTACTAATTTTGCCCTTTGACGAACCCATACCCACCCAATCCTACCTTAGATACCTACTCACAACAATACTATCCTATATGAAAGCTTTGGGGGTATATAAGGTCCGTCTCTCCTAATGACGGAGACGGTTAACCTAAGCTTTCGAAGTCATAACTAAAATGGCCTCCTCGACCTCCTTAGGGTTTGTCGCAACCAAGAAATGAGCGCCTCCTTCGAGGACGTTGAACTGGACGTCGCCAGAACCAGTAAATAGTTTAGAATGCTCTTCCGCGACAACAGGAGTATAGACCGCGTCGGCCGATCCCTATACTGTCTCAGTACTAATTATCCCTTATAATAGAAAATCATAGGGCGGTGAAGAGGGTAAAACATACATGTAGCCAATGAACGGGGCACTTGATATCGCCTATCCTGAGCTGCAACCCGTCTCTAGACGCCAGACAGATGGCGGCCATCCGGAGCTTTTTGGCGTCCCTCGTTTCCTGAGTAGACGTGACGGAGGGTCTCAGTCCAGAACTCGAGGACTTGAGGGGTGCCCGCGGATCCGAAACCCAACCCGATCACAGCTTGGATCCAGTCGTCGCCAACGACGAAGTTGGCGTTGGGGTTGCCCCATTTCTCGAGAAACGGCTGTAGAAACGGGACCGGATCCCTATGGTTATGAGAAATACTCGTTAGTGACGCCAGACCGATGTCCATAGGTATAAAAAGGGCAAATGTCCCCTAGACTACCAAAGAGGGAGGTGTCTAAAGGAGCATCGAAGATAAATATTCGACTTACCAGCAGCCCTTCTCGCGAGTCTCGCTAGTTTCAGCATCCATTGAAGTGCCAAGAGGGATAAGACCCAGGATCTAGGCATCCTTTGTGAGCCGAGACGATCCACTTGTTTAGTAACAAACCAGAATTTAGTACTCACCTTTTCCGGCGCCAGCAACGCCATCCGCACGATAATCCAACCGCCCTGGCTAGTTCCAAGGGCGTACGCCTTCCGTACACCTAGAGCTTCAAGCGCCTGCAGCGTAATGAGCGCGGTGTCCCAGTAATTAAAGTGCTCCGTGGCGCATGCTGTCGCACCATGGCCAAGCGGCTCGATGGCCACGAGGTTCGCAACACTTGTTAATGCTTTACTGTCTAACAAAGGTCGATAAAA